GAATAGGTTTCGGGCTGGCTGGGATATTTCTGGTGAGAAGTTGGCTTGCCGTTTGTTTGGTGGTAGTATTGGCAGCTCAAATAAGCTAGCTTGGCTGGCTGGTTGGGTGGGCGTGGCTGGTGGGGACTCTACGTCCATTTCTCTGTCGATTTGAGCCTCTAGACCTAGGCTTTCCTGTCTATTTTCTTGAGTATTAACTCGTATAGTGTCGCTTTCTGGCGGCATTCTTAGTAAGCTTCTTACTAAGCTCTTTCTTAGTAAGCAGCTAGGTGGTCTGTGTCTTTTTGTTTTCGTGAGTGAAACGTGTTCGAATTAGCTACTTTACCAGCTTCTAGCTCTGTAGCGCGTAGGCTGCACGACTTGGCACTAGTTTTAATCGATTTCTTAGGATGGATTTGTATATATTTGACTAAAATTACACCTATTCTAGAAAACTCGAAGTTGGTGTCGGCAGTAAACAGGTTTAGAAGATATATAGCAAGGCTATATTCTAATCGAACAGTGGCTACAAAGCAGGACTGACGTTATTTATATTAAACTAGCTGCCCTCATTATGACTATATATACTATAAAGTAGAATAGAAAACTCACTTAGCCTTACCCCTCTGGGACGGGCTTAGAAAGCGCTTCGACTTGGCTAAACGGCTTAGCTCATTGCAAGGCCACAGCTACAGTTGCCCCTCACCATTACGTGGAATTGTCAAGTAATAATACTAACTACCGAGACGAATAGGGTAAGTACTACTAAAACTCTATCCTTGAACAATTACAAGTTCTTGCCGCATAGCCACACAGTAATCATCCCGAACATTCAGCGCAGAATATACAATAATGCCACTAACTAGCGTATCTCTAACTAAATAGATGTACGAATTAACGCATAGCCTCTAATCAGCGTTTTCCCTCGCAACCCTTCTTGTTCTACTATTGCACTGTTTAAACATTGCTTTCGTCTCCTAATCTAAAGGCGAATAAGTGGCGCAGTCTTCTTATCCAATCGCCTATTAGCAGAATTCGGCGCCATATTCGATTAACATAGTATGGAAGATAACATAATAGCTGTGTAAAAGTACATGCCTAGTAAAGGTTAGATAACGAGATAAGGTTTGACCAAGACTCACCATTAAAATGCCCTGTCGTAGTTTAGTGGAAGTGCTTTTCTTAGTAATTGCGAAACTAAAGGTGATGATTGCGCCGCAAAGCTGGCTAGATGCCGCAGCGGCATTCGTAAAGACGAAGGTATGCAACAATCGCATATATTCTTCGTCTCTATGGTCAGATCCTGAGTTCTTGTGGATCTCTAATTGCTCGTATGAGAGTCCTAATGAGAAAAGCGATACAGTACCAAAACGAGTTAGCAGTGCTGACTCATAAGCAGGAGATGCTGCTTTGCCTCTACTTGGAATTAGACAACCTCGGATACAAATTCAGTTCACCTACGTAACAGCGGAAGCAATGTCTAGTATAGCTAGAATTGCTACCAAATGTACCGCCCATATATTCCAGGGACGAAAGATGAAGATCTGAAGCATTCGGGCGAGCTGAAGTTCCTATTAGTCGGAGACTAGCTATCGAGGTGGGCAGATCACCTTACATTATTGATAGTAAGAAGTTGGAGATTATACATAATGACTGCGTCAAGCCAGGTGTATATCTCTATTGGATAGGGTTCGGTCGCGATTGCAATAAGCCCAGTGATCGCTAGGCCTACTAAACTGGTACTGATAAAGATTCCTATAATCCTCTCCCAACGGTAATCGTACTCGGAAACCTGTGTTTCCGCCCTGAATAGATTTCTGATATCAAGGTAAGTGAGCGTACTGCTTAGTATGGGTCCAATAACAAAACAAATCGCAAGGCTGAACGATACAAAGGATGCCATGGTGACAAGAGTTCGTGCAGTACTGAATATGGGGGGCTCACACATTTTGTACCTGCTCTACGTCGTAAACCGGTTCCGTATAGTGGAGCCGGGGAAGAGTTACATAACAAGAGCACGTGCAGACAGCTGCAGGTATAGCCATGGAAAAACCCATAAACTTGCAGTATTCGGCCATGCCAGCCACGGAGATAGGGCCTTGAAGTAGTCGTATAGGTGCAGGTGCCCACATCGTCAGAAGTATAATGTCGTACATACAGCTGCACAAGCTCCATCAAGGCCCCCAGTAGATGCTATCATGTGCCTTCTAGTCAAAGTTCGTAACATTAGGGAAGTTGACAAATTCCTAAGAGTTAGGCTATATTGAATATTTTCTAGGTAGTATAGCGTTTCTAAAGTATAGCGTTTCTAGAAGCCCTCTGCTTCTAGGAAGTTAATAAATTCATAAAAGTTAGACTACAGTAGAGAATATGGAGAGTTTCTAGAGTTTCCAGGAGCAGAGCGTTTCTAGAAAGTAAATAAATACTTAAAGGTTGGGCTATATTGGATAGTATAGTGTTTATAGAAGTAAGGTGTTTCTAGAAGCAGAACGTTTCTAGGAAGTAAAATAATAATTAAAAGTTAGGCTAGAACTATTAGATAGTATACGATTTCTAAGAGCAGGGCATTTCTAGAAATAGAATGTTTCTAGAAGCATAGCGTTTCTAGGAGCAGAGCGTTTCTAGGAGCAGGGTGTTTCTAGGAGCACGGCGTTTCCAGAAGCGCAGCGTTTCTAGAAACACTCTGCTCCTAGAAACGCTTTGCTCCTAACAATGCTCAGCTTCCAGGAACACCCTGCTACTGGAAACGCCGTGCTGCTGCAAATGCCCTGCGATATGGACTTGTCAATAAATTTAGCCTTAGCCTTTTGTTCAGTTTAAGATTCAAACAAGGTGTCAATAAGCCAAATTAGCTCGCCTCTTTGATGTTTCAGCTTGAGACTTAGTTAGAGACCTAATCTGCTCGGTGCTATACAGACCAATTAACCAACTAGACTAAGGTCCGTCCCTACGTGCCGAAAAACCCTATGTGCCGAAAACGACCAATTGGATCACAAGGATCATAGACTTCCCTCTAAACATCGCGATCCGATTGGTCGTTTTCGGCACATAGGGTTTTTCGGCACGCAGGGACGGACATTAGTTACTTGTCCTTATCACTCTGATCTTATAGAAGCATGTGCATATAGATATCGTCTATATTAATTAGGTTTGCTGCTTCAATGCCAAAGTTGGCTCCAAGAGGCCGCTAGCTTGCTAAATATGCACTCACACTCGTAGCATACAACAGGTATAGGCAGGATATCAATAGCCATCTAGGCAAGGCTAGAGTGGCGATTGAGCAGGCTTATCTAGTAATTAATAGAATCAACGAGAGCGTAACCATCCTTATCGGCCTTTCTTTCACGCGTCTTCGACATTTCCTACTCATCTTTATCGCCATCATTAGCAGACTTTGGAGGGTCTAACAGGCAACATAGCAACAATAGAGACAGCAATAATTATTACTACAGCTCCAGCAAGTGGCCCTTTATAACTCCTGTAGTTAGTATTTTTCTATCTACCTGCGCTTAGTATCTAGATTAAATTTATCGAAATTCATTCCGTCTGTTCTATAAAATACGATAAAACTCATTATGCACTTCTACACGTAGCCACTCTTTACAAAGATCAACGTCCTTAATCTCGTTCTCTTGCCTATAAGAGCTAACAAGGTTCAAAGATGCTGATGTTGGCCATAAAGGCGGCGAAACTCCTTGGATTATCGAGCAAGCGAAAGGGTCAAGTTCCCGGCTCAGCTGACTTCCTCTAGGATATGTATTAGTCATATATGTAAGTAGAGCTGGGAAACTTCGTTCAGGAAAGTTGTGGTCATTGCTAGATGTGTTAGATAAAATACATCTATGACTCATGGAAATCATACATTTTAGCCTCTAGATCGGGGCTGCACGTTAATAGAATGCCGAGGCCAAAGTGTGATGCTATTATAGACCACCTTCTGCCGATCGCCTTGTGTTTTCGAAAGCTTTCGCGCAGCTGATATTCCGTTCGTACAAGGACATCCCCAGAAGCCTTACCAAGCCCTTCGATAAATTTATCGGTAGCAACAGTGGCTACATCCTGACCACGGGAAAGAGGTCTGTATTTCTCTAGATTATTCTGTATATTGATGCAAAGTTCTTCGAAATCGTGATAAAGTAAGATTCTTAAGAATCTGAATTTAAGACGATCTATATCCGAGCGACGCCTGAAGGTTTCAGCGTGGTAATACCGTTTAAACAAGCTTTGAATTCTTGAATCTTCGCCAGCTACATCCTTTGGGACGGGACGATAGCCTAGATCTGTCTGACTCCACCTGCGGCAAAACAATCTCAAGAACTTCCCTACATCTTCCTGAAGAAAGTGATCGCCAAGCCAAATAATGTTTGCTATGTGGTTCTGAACTTCAGGGTGAAGATGATCTAGTCGTTGCATGCGTTGAGCGTAAAGAGACTTCGGAGATCCCTCCCGCCATATAGGCTCATACTCTGGTATTGGGCTAGGGGTGGACGCAGGTGGTGATGGCGATATCGAAGCAGAACTTATGTAGGAAGGTAAAAGGGCCGGACTTGGAGCGCATTTAGAAGCCCCTGCTTGGTTATCGGAGTTATGGGCTACGGAAACGTTGTCCTCCTGATTTCTGTCTGTTTCGACCGGAGAGCGGCCAGTGGGAAGGAAATTGGTGGACATTTGGGTATCAAAAATAGCTGGATGCGATGAGTGCTCAGACTGCGCAGCTCGTATAGAGAAACTCGAGCGGTTATCAAAAGACAGCCTGTGTGGTAGAAGCTTTGGCCAAACATGTTCTAGATATTCAGGTTCCGCCCTTGCGAGGAGGCATAGAAAAGCTTTCGCTGTCGAGATAAGCTACTAAGAGTTAGCAGAATCTTTGATGGGCTGCTCATCATGCCTCTTCTTCTCCCATTCCAGCCTGAATCTGATCTAGAAGCGGCTCATCAGCAGCAGACTCCTGCCTCTTGTTAGAGAGGGTATTGCTACTAGCATCAAACGTACGAGATATATGGCGCGCATAATGTTTTAATATAAAAATTCTCTAATTCTTGGTATAAACATAAGATGATAGGATAAGCATCATGATATAGCATAGCACCAGGAACATGCAGGGGCTTTCACGGTCCAATGTGCTATCAAAAAACGAAAATTTATTCGCACCCAGGAGCATGTAACTTACCTCTATATATCGCAGAAATCCTGATGGGCCGGAATGAACCGCTGAAAGCGCAGGGTCATCAAATATTCCGGCACGGTACTATGTTTGATTGGCTTACTCCAGCTAACCGGGTTTTCCGCCATATAGAAAAGGATATTAGGGGCTTTTGCGGTCCAATGTACTATCAAAAAAACTAAAAGTTGCTAGCACCTTATCGTGCTTGGCAGGTAGATGTGGCAATTCTCAACCCAAAATGCAGTTCCTAATTGTTATTAATTCGAGTCTTTACACGAGTCTGTTACGCACTATCGTCTCCTATTTCTTGATTTTTAAGTTGTAAGCAAGTAGTAAGGTAACTAGTAAATTTACTAGAATATTCATACGTGCTAGAAGTGAGCGAGCAGAAACAACGCTATATATGTTCTGAAGAGACAGGTAGTAAATTGCAGGCTGGAAGGGAGAAAAGTTGTTGTGGAATTAAGTTGATTCTTGTTAGAAAATTTCCATATTTTTTAGTGCTACCACATGTCTTCCCACCTTGCTAGTTCGATATAGCGTCATTCAATCATATACATACTAGATATAATAGTTTAGATATCTCTGAGCTTCTGCAAAGGGACTTAGATTAGTGCTACGACCTACTCGCTTGCTACTCTTAGTACTCAGACTGGAAGTACATTTTAAGCTATATCTAGCATCCCTTCCTATATGGCGGAAAATCTCGTGAGCCGGAACTAGCTAATCAAACATAGGATCGAGTTAAAATATCTGCTGATCCGGCCCTTTTATCCGTTTATTCCGGCCCACCGGAGTTTCCGCTACACACGGAGGGATATTAGTGAGCTTAATTCTTACACAAGTCACCTCTTGATTTCATACCCATATATAAGGGTAGGTTAAAGTAATCGGAGAACTCTGTGAAATTCGCGAAAACTTACTACTACAGTTTCAAGGATTCCTAAATAGCCCGTGCCGCCCTAGTTAAAAGTGTCTAAATATGCCTATAACCTGGACACCCGAGAAGACTTTGCAAGATTTCATCAAAGACAATAGCCATTCTCGCCAGATAGAGCAGGAGAGGTATCAAGGCAGAGTGTTCAATGACAAAGGTCATGTCATAAAACGGATTACCAGAAACAATCATCATGATATACATGAAATTGAAGGAAGCTTAGAAGTACAACGGCAGCTACTGTTGAAACTGGCAGAGCGAGAAAATGCAAGGATAGAAAACCCTAAAAGTGAGAGAGCATCTTCCGTCGAAAGTCTGGAGAGCTTAAAAGCAGACACAGTTCAAGCAATACAAAAGACATGGAACCAAAGTAGTGGATCTCAAAATAAAGGGGGGTTATTATATACTTCATAGTATCATTAGCTAAAGTGTATCATAGCTTTACTAGTTATGTTATTATATATAAACTATAGATTAGGTGCTGAAGTGCAGGGTTCCGCTGTTATTAGATTTAGGTTTTACTAATACGTATATAACATTAAATATGACACGGATAATATATATCTTTACTGCATGAGTGTTATGCCGTTCCTAGCTGAATTGTATTGATTGGGAACTATGTTTTGCAATGACTTAAAGATGTCTTCTTAGAGCATGAAAGCTAAAGAGCCTATATACATAGCTATTGTGAAGATGATATGGAACACTAGTGTCTCTCGATTACCTACCAAACTTGAGGTACTAGAGAAAGGAACACTAGGCTCGGTCGGCTTAGAGAGATTTTGGGTCGAATCCGTTCCGTTGTTCCATATGGGTAAAGGCAAACGGAGGGACGGGCTGGTTGGGAATAGAAAACCTTGCGAGCCTATCGCACAAGTTTTAGTAAGTAACATTGTAGAAGTCGTAGTTGCTATGCTAACGCAGCCCCCACTAGTGACGTTGTTTGTGACATTACTCTCTCGCCAGTGGGATGACGCCCTAGAAAAACCTAGAAGTACTAGAAAGTAGAAGGATATCATCGCTGAAGTTGTAAGCTTTTCCTGCGAAATTGGGGCTACTCTTTTAATAGTCGTCGTAAAGCTAGACTTACAAAGTAGATGGTCATTAAAGTTGATGCAAGTGTTCTTTTTTAGGACAAGTAGAAAAGTGTCGACTACTTATTTTCTATATATACTTGGCATAACTACAAATACCGCTATATGCATACATCATACAGACAACAGCAGAACTACCATCTTTTTATAAGCACTGATATGGATTCAATCGTCTCTAAAGTGCGCGTTGAGCTCGTTGAGCTTGCTGAAACTTATGCAGCTAACAAGCACGAAAATGTTACGATTCGTCTAATTTCTGGCTTCCAGCGAGCCTTGTTTGCTATTCTCCACGAAAGTATTCGAATTAAGGACTTTGAACAGTCTAAGGAGCTTAGAGACGAGATGATCGAGCTGTTCGAGGATGAATATCCAACAGAACCTGCGTGGCCATACCTCAACCGATTAGAGAAGCAGGATAGATGTTTTGCTAAGCTAGGTTGTATATTCAAGCACGGAGCAGCGCTCTATAAGTCTCCTTTTTGTCAGGAGCACTTTGTCTGCGAGAATCACAAGTCAAGTCCTTGCATTGCAAAACACGGAAATGTAGCAGGTCAGAAACATCAGGTCAAGTATGATATAAAAGATGTGGGAAATATAGCTCTAGATGTCGAAAACGCGAGCACTAAGCAATTTATTGGAGGAGAGATAAGCAAAGAAATTCCTAGGAATAGGAAGTCAGACCAAACGAATGCATATAGACGGCTTCTAGGTACTAGAGACCTAGAGCAAGAGAAACTACCCAAGTCTTTAGAGGTAGAAGCTATAGGCATGTCAAAGCCCTTTGAATATTCTTGGTATTCTTGGAAAGATAACTTTGAATACCATACAGATAGTTCATCTAGCGATCAAAGTGAATCAGAGGATGATGTTATCAAAGGAGAAGAGCAGAATTGGCAAAATGCAGACATCGGGAGATAAATATTGTAACATAGCCAAGAAGTAGAATTAACTAGTTAAACATTAATAAAAACTTCTACTATCTTCACGTTCTAGCAAGTTAGAGCTATATTAGCATTCAACTATCGCGCTTTATAGGGCGTGAGGAAGATCATATGTAGATTCTATTAGTTGTTATTAGTCGTTTAATCAACATATCTAGAGGTTGTTGGGTAATACATGGTCAACTGTTTAGTAGTATTTATCACTAAGTTAGTTAATTAATTTCACTTTCTGATATCTAGTTAATCAATCTGTAATAATAACGCTCCATAGTAACTACTTGGAGGGGTTTAAACTATTCTACAGTGGGGTGACAAAAAAAAAACGTAGTAAAAAAAGTAATTATTTTTAAAACATAATTACTCAGCAGCTATAGTGGCTATAGATATAAAGTTAGTGCGTTTTAAAGCTAAGATCTTCTAGTCTTTTACATAGGTGTCACGTGACATTCTACTGCAGCTTTAGGTAGATCTATAATAACTTAAATACTTGGAAAAATTCTAAAAGATTTTGAACTTTTAGAACTCTATAGTAGATAGAGCTATATAGCTAATAGTTATATATATAGTAGTAGTAGATATATAGATCACGTGATAATGGTCTTAGCTACTCTAGCTTATATATATAATAGATTCTTAATACATCTAGTACTTAGCCTATACTTACATAAGCGGTATATTAGTCAGCAACCAGTCAGAATATCATA